AGATCCTTGCATCCCCCACAGGAGCCTGTGAAACCTGGATTCATCAGTAGGACTCCGATGTCTTTGAAGCCTGATGCACTGGATTGCCACCAACTTGTGCCTTTTTGTATTCCCATTTAACAAATTCATCTTTAAAGTATTTGACAAAGAATTGGGTTACACTGGATAACTGAAACTTAATAGAATATGGTTGTATTTTAGACATTTTTAAAAAGCAGATTGTTTAAAAAGGAATTACTATTGTAAAGAGCTTTCCTTATTTTTTTTTTCTATTTTTTTTCTCAAGCTGATTTGGAACACTATTGCTACATATCTGGTAAAATTTGACCTATTTGGAGATCGTAGTTTATCAGTCTTGAGACTAGACATGGAAAATGTTTGTATATATAGAAACAGTCTACACTGTGAAAACACTGAGGTTTAACATTTTGCTTGTTATGATTCTAAGAGATGGACAACACATTTTAAAATCTCAGTAATGTGGTTGTAGTTCTCATAGCCACAAATATCTTCATGCCATTACTGTGAATGTTATATACTGTGTGGGGGTATAATTATGTACATATAACATGTGTATGCATCTAGAGAGTTAATGTTTAGTTAGCAGCATATAATGGTTTTTAAAAGGCATACCCTGAAACTAATTTTTTACCTCATTAGTCAACCAACTACATCAATTTAGAATGGTAGTCAGGAGGAGGGTTATTTTGATTAAAGTACATCTAAGAGACTATTTGTATACAACTTGCTTTTAAAAGCTTAATTTAAAATATCTTTTGAGCTTTGCACAGTGGCAGTACCATAGCCAATGAGGTTTATCCGAGGTGCAATTATTGCTAATTAAAATATCTTTTGATTGGATAAATTTTGCTGTCTTGTATTACTTTAAACGTGTCTCTATTTAGTATAAAATTTTATATATGCTTTTCTAGTCAATATCTACTGATAATGCTATATCACATTTAAAATATATTTGGTGTTATTTATAAAGTAGAACTAACATAAAAGTGAAAATTTTAGATGGATATTTTACTGGCCTGAGAAATAGAAATCTTTTTTACCTTTATGAACTAAAATTTATAAAGCTTTGAATGATTTACTAAGACTATTCTAAAGTTGTGTACAGACATTGTAAATCGCGTGTCTTAATTGTGTAAGTTCTCTTGTCCTCCACATTGCTAATGTTAAGAAAATTTACTTTGTTCTTTAATAAATAAATATCTGATGTTAACAAATACACCTCAGACTAAGTAAAACAAGATTGTAAGGAACCATAGTAAAAAGTATTTTCTAGCTTAATCCAGACTATTTTAAATAATCTCAACATTCAGACCTATAGTTTTCTGCTATGAGAGCTTCTAATTTACTGTTCTACTGATTTTTTATACAAACAAGCCTTTTTCTACAGAGTAAAAAAGTCATAGTTATTTATTAATCTATAGCAGCTAGGTCTCATTAAATAAAAGTTGTTTTCATGTTGTTAGGGAGCACTTACTAAAAACAACTTATACATATAGCTAAAATTTTAATAAATATTAACAAAGTAAAGAAATGTAATACTTTATTTTCCTTTACCACGAGTCGATATTTCTGAATTCCCAAAGTGATGTTTTAAGGTATTTTGAAGTTTGTGTCAAATTCAGAGACTATTCATATCATTGTGGATGTCACTTGGACTCTATCCTAGACAGAAATTTCTGGTGTAAAGTTAACATTAGTTTTAATATAATGTATTGGTTTAAGAAATCTTCAATGATACGTTTGTAATGTGGGGTATGTTTTAAATATAGTTAAGATCTTGAAGGGAACTCTGATTGAATTAAATAACATTCATTAAGATTACTAGAAATGTACTTATGTATGAGTCAACTATAAACAAGCATTCTGATTCTCATTTCTAAACAAAGAATCAAATTTTTGAAAACAGTTTTTCCAGAACAAGCTTCACAGTTCTTAAAGTATTTTCTCAGGGTAGTAAATTAGTGGTATCTACTTATCTAAGGTTTTAATACCTAATACAGTAACAGAGCCCCATCAATATATAGCTAATTGCAGATATAAAGTATCTGCTGGTAGTCCATCCCTCATAAAACCGCCGTTAGCCTTAATTCAAATCCATTGATTCCTATTCCAGTTAAAACTGAAGAACTTAATATGTCCTTTAATCCTTTTATTGTAAGCTAGGATAAAATTAATTTTACCCTAGAACTGCACAAAGCCAATTAACATGATCTTTAGAGTTATTTAGTAAAGTGCTTCAAACTGTTAAATTTATCTTGACCTCTTGGTTGCACTCTCTGACTGCTTTTTAAATGAAGTAATCAATATCTCATAGCCCTTTAAATAGCTTAAACTTCTCAAATATTTTACCTGTGCTCTACTTAAGCTGTAAGTAAAGTATTTACTCCTGTTCGTGTAAATCTGGAGTCAATTATGCTAAATCTAAAGACAATTATATACTTTTGAAGAACACTATATGAATTCATGATTGTTTTAATAAAATCAAAGCCTTGTAGTCTGTTAAAGTAACTCAATAATGAGAAAACATACCGTTTTTCACACACAGCATGTATTCTGTTTGCAACTTAAAATGCAGAACATTTATGTCCTTTACCATTGCACGTAGCTTCTGTTTTCCACACAGGGCTAGTTGAAGGTATTAATTTTCTTACTGTGATAGGGTGATCAACCGTCCTGTCAAGAAAATGGATCTCCATGTCACCCTTTAGCGTGATTAAATGGAGCCATGTCTCTGTGAAAAAATACCAAATTTTCATGAGACAAATGAAACCGTAGAAAGGTTTGCTTTTACAGAATTATTTTATTTTTAATATAACGGTCTCCCATTTGGTTGTCATTTTATTTGTAGGAAAGCATTGCAGCTAATTACAAATAACTTTATCACAACAGAAAATAGAGGTCAAACCAATTATTTAAAGATGTTTACAAATTTGAAGAATTAGAAAAAAATGAGTTGCAGTGTTATTTTTAGACCAGTCCTAGAGATGGGCATCTGTACATTACACGGTCACCATATAAATCACAGTCAGTGTCATTTTTAGGGGCTTTTTGTTCTTACATCTTTACCCCTTTTCCTTGTTAACAAAGAGCTATCATCTTTTCAGATGTGAGTGATGATAAAAATTACGTGTCATAGAATTCCAGCATCAGTAGTGTTAATAGCCAGTTAGTCAGTGTTATTATGAGCCTGTGCACGTGCCAAACTTTAAATTACACCAACTGATGTACTTGACAGCTAATTAAGATTTCATATTTTGGCCACTTAGCAGAGGGCACCTGTTACAATTCTCTCTATTACCTTAGGAGTAAAATGTACAAATGGCTGTTTGAAAGTACATTATTAAAACTTTTTTAAAGTGTGAATTTCTTCTGAAGGAGTGAAAGTTAAGACAAGATTGAGGTAATTAAACAAAAGGATCAGAGAGAAGGTGGAGGATTGGGGAGAGAGGCGGAGCTCTCCAAATGCCCCTGTTGTTTAATTTCCTACTGGAAGCAGTCTGTGTGTGCTGCTGTGCCCCCTCCCTCTTTAAGCAGTGGCCGTTGCAGAGGCTGAACGGCTGGGGTCAATGCCTTGCCTATTGATCAGTATCCCTGCAGTCCCTTGCTCCAGCAGCTGCTTCATTGGCTTCTTTCAGGGCCTGCTTCAGTACATTAGAATAGAAATCCATAACCAGAGCTGTGCTCATCCAAGCAAGGGAAGAAACTAAATTAAATGGTATAAAACAATCTTGGATCAGGAGTTTGTGCCAATTCATCTTGATCTAAGATGTCACACCGGGCTCTCTGTCTGAGCACCTGGGGTAGAGGCAGCCATAGTGAAAATAGATGGAGCTGCGATCATTCATTTGTCAGCTAAGGAGCAAGGCAGCGGTTAGCAATTCCCTTCTGCAGAGGTCAGCTGACAGAACAATCAGTGCAACTGCAGAATAGAGCTTTCCTTTGAACTATTGTTATGGAGCATGCTCTTGCTGAGACATGGGGGGAGGGGGGCTTGGTCTGTTTCCTGTTTCTCGAGAATGCTATGTAAAAAAGTAAAATATCTATGACTGTAATATGTGAATCTAGATTCAGTTGCACTGTACTTACTCCTCGGATCTGTGCTTGTACATAAGTTAGTTTCAAATGCATGTACTGAGATATAGATTATTAAACTGTTAAATATCATTTTGTCTGGAAATAAGGTTCTTTTAAACACGGAGGCAGTAGTTATTGATTTTCTTCTTCTTCGTATGGTTAAGCTTTTAGGCGCTTTCCCCCACCCCACTTTAGTTACCTTAACTATCAGATCAGTGTCGTACTTTGAATCTATAATAGCATTTTCTTCCTAATACTTTTTTTTTATTAGGATTTCCTCTCTATTTCACAAAACTGAAACACTTCTAGGGAGAGGAAAAAGTGTATATTATAGTATCTGATTAGAAAATATCACTTAGTGTTAAATATTTTAAACGTTAAATCTAGAGTTTCTATGAGAAAAGTTGATAAAATACTGATCATGACCTTGGAAGTTATAAAATAATTTTGTGACTTTGGAAGAGCATTATTATAAAACAGCTTAAATATGCTGTGAAATATACCATATAAGATTATACAAATTTAAAAAATGGGTAGTAATTAAAATTTTATATGAACAAATATTAAGGATAAATTTATTCTTTACGGACTCACTTTAAGTGTCTGTATATATACTACTTTAAAAAACTAATGACAATTTCCTGAACTAACCTGAAAAAAATGAAGTGTGATATGTAGAAGCTAAGAAACCATAATGGCAACAATCATCAATCCTTTTTGCATGATCTTGCATCATTTCTGTATCTTAGACTCAAATAGGTCTTTTTGTTCACATCTAGTTGTCCTAGTGCCATTTATTGAAAATGTTGTTTTTTCCTAAGTGCATAATCTAGAATGTTTTTCTAATCGTGTCTGTTTTGTACTGACACTCTTTTCACTCATACTCCTTTGGTTTGATTTTTTAGGTTGCTTATCTAGTGTTCCGCAAATGAAAAAAATCTCCACATCTTATGAGGAAAGGCGGAAGCAAGCTACTGCTATTGTTTTACTAGGAGTGATTGGAGCTGAATTTGGTGCAGAAATTGAACCTCCTAAACTGTTGACCAGACCGAGAAGCTCCAGTCAAATTCCGGAAGGATTTGGTTTGACTAGTGGAGGATCCAACTACTCACTGGCCAGACATACTTGTAAGTTTTAAAATTCCCAGTGTGGATCTTTTGCTTTTTAAATACATATTATTGGTCAACAAAATTTCAGAATGCTGAATACTTCCTGAGTTTTAGCTCATCCAGGTGCTTGAGTGAAGTGAGAAAGCAGTACAGTCTGTGTGATATACATTGCTCTTTGTAGTTACCCGGACTTCTTTTTAAAAGTTAAAACATGGTCTTTTATATGCTTTTTTAAAAGTAACATAGTCCTGCACTTTGTCCTCTTTGCACTTTTGGGCAAGATTCTTGTCAAAATTTGTGAAAGGTAGCTTCAAGTTAAAACTTTTGGTTTCTAAAGTAATTTCCGAATTTCGAAGTGACTTGTTCTGAATGTGGTTTGAAAAGCTAGATGTGGGGTGGAATATCAAGAGAAAAGAGTGTGAATGATGAATTATGAGTTATCACTGTAATTTTTTAAATTCTGGTAATAGTTTTTAAATTACTGAGAGACACATATTTGCTCTCAGTTCTGTGCTTGGTATGTGCATGATAAGTTAGCGTATTTTATAATGTCTGTTGGTACTTTTGTCTTAAAATTCCTTTAGGTAAGGCCAGTGTCCCTACATTGTTGAAAAATCATTTCTAAAGTTCCTTCAATAGATGTAGCTATCCATTCTGTAGCTTTTTTAAAAAGACTCTGAATTCAACAAATGCTTATTAGAGATAATCACTTTTAAAATTTGTGTTAAGTGTACATTCATCATATGTAATAAATGAGTTTTGTTGCGGTATCTTCGCACAAGTGATAATTTCCTGATCTCTATTTGACACTGAGAATAGAAGAGTATTAATAACCCACTACAAACAATAACAAACCAACTGGGGCTCTGTCTTTTAAGCTCTTTACATTCTTTAACTCAGTCTTCTTAATAACTTTGTAGCATGGGTATCTCTGTTACAGTATCTCCATTTGATATATAAAGCATGTGGGACACAGAAGTTTGGTTAACCTGACTGAGATCTTACCTCTAAGCAAATACTAGTTTTTGTCTCAGTCTAGTCTGTTGATTTCAGAGCTCATGCTTTTGCCTATTATACAGATTATTACTGTTCAGTGGCTCTTAGTGGAAGAAGGCTTAATTGCTAAGATGTACTATAACTTTATAATTTTAAAAAAAACTTCCTATCTTCTCATTTGATTTTCAAAATAAACTTGAGACAAATTCAGGTTGGGTCAAAAAGTCAGAAAACCTGAACTTGAGCTTAAGTGTCTTGTGACTTAAAAACCCATATTCTTTGTCTTCTCCACTTAAGCATGTCACTTTCCCTGTCCTGTGTACTACTGGCCCCCACTTCTCAATTCTGTCCTGTGTGCCTTTTCTTGACATTTTCAGGTTCCCTGCTTTTGATTCATAAAGCCCTGAGCAAATCTCTGTCTCTACAGTGGTCTCTTTAATTTTGTATACCGTGTCAGTCAGACAGCCCAAGACTTAGCATATGTGCAGTAGTTCCTTACTTAGAATCTTGGTATTAGAAAATTAGAGGTTAATCAGATTTTCACATGATTTAGTCTGGTGGCTTTCAGATGTTCTGCTTACTAACTTCCTAATGGATTTCAAACAATGTGTAATCTTTTGTACATTCTTATATTGATAGTTAAAACTTTTTAATTGTAAGCTTAAATGTTTGCAAAAGTTAAGCTGGACATAGTGTACACCTAAAATCTCAGCATTCTGGGTGGCTGAGGCAGGAAGATCCCAAGTTCAAGCCTACCATGGGCAGTTTAGTTTCTTAGAGAGGCTCTGTTTTAGAATAAACAACAAGCAATTTCCTTCCTTTTCACAATATCTATTTTGCGTGCTTATCTCTGGTAATCTGAACAACTAATTTAAAGGTAACAATATGCAATATAACAACCATTGGTGAATTCCTACCATCTTGTTTAGTGAAGCTCTGTATCATTTCTAATTTTTTAAATTATTTTTTATTCTCTTTAATTGTTTGATGAATCTTGCATTCTTACATCTGGTAATCTGAGCAACTTGGTTGAAGATAGCAATATGTAATATAACAACCATTGTTAATTTCCTATCATCTTGTTTTGAAATTCTGTATCGTTTTTGTTGTTTTGTTTTTGTCTTTGTTGTTGTTATTTTGTTATTTTTTTCTTTTTAAAATAAAAATAAACAATGAAAATGGACTGAAGTACTACAGCTCAGAGTGAAGAATTCATTTGGATTCAATCCTCAGTACCACTACCTGCAAAAAAGTTCTAATTTTGAGAATATTGTGAATATTGATGTTTAAAAATTAAAACTATTCTGTTTAATATAGTAAGTATAACACTTTAATTATTTGATATCCTTTTTATCTATCTTAAGAATACATGAACAATTTTTTAAAGTCAGAAACCTTACATCCTTTTTATTTTTGATTTTTTTTTGGAGAGAATCTCTCTCATCACAGCTTTACGGAAGGAAATCATTTATAAAGGTAGCATCCTAAAATCGGTTCCTTTAAACTACTTAGGTCTTAAAAGATATTTGTGCTTTTAAACACTATTTCTTCAAAAGTCTTAAAATGCTCTCGTTTGAAGGGGTTGCCTATGTTGAAGACACTGATTCTGCCCAACATGTTTTTATGTAATTTTTCAACAGTAATGCTTTGTGGCATATATTTTCCTGCAAGGAAAATGAACATAAATATTATTTCCTTTACAGTTTTCCCATACCTCAGTATACATATGTTTATATAAATATAGAAACATTTAAGTTAATGACTTCCTGATTACTTTCACCTGAGCCATTGTCTGGTTGTTAAATAAATTTATACCATATTATCCTAGTACCTAGACTACTACTGTTACCATCATTTTTCTATCCATAGTTTTTCCCTACATAAAACTCTGATTTTCATGAATTTGCTTCTGTATGTATTTTAACTATGATATTCCATAACTAGAGAAAGAGGAAAGGAGAGAAAAGGGGAAGATTTAAAAAACTATGACAGAATAGGAAGAGATATTTTCCAAAGAAGTCTTGGGAATTAAAACAATTGAAAGGCTTTAGTACTATCCTTTGGGTTTGTTAAAAGACAGGGAGCTGCACTGCAGAAGTGCAGTAAAGAACTGTAAAGAAGTTCCAAAGCATATTTCTGGCTTTTGGAAAACCCTGGGCTCAATTTTGCTATGGAGAGAGACTTTTGCTTTGTAACTACTCAACTTCCCTAAACAAGTATAAATAAAAATTATGGAATATTATTGAAATACCTAGGTGTTTTAGAAGCAAGATTATTTGAGATTTTTTTAAAAAAATTAACTAGATATGGGAAGGGGAGAAGGTAAAGCTTTTCAGCAAACTATATTTATAATTATTCATTGAAAGAAAAGATACAGATTCTGAAAAGTTTCTAGCTGTCAAGGAATTGTATATTAAAATGAATAATATAGTACCTGTTAGAACTGATTAAAATACTTTAAATTGCCTTGATGTAGTCTTTCTTTCTTATGCTTACCCGGTTTTATGTATTTTAAAGTTAATCATGGATTTTCTTTTGATTTCTACTCATTACTCTATTTCTGTTCAAAAGTTTTTAGTTTATTGGTAATACATGTGTACTACCAGTAGTATAGGGATTTTTAAGACCCTTCTTTTTTAATTGGAACGTCTTGATTAAATTTCAGTTTGGCAGTTTAAATCATGTTTTCTTCACTGGAAATGGTCACATATCTAAATATTCCTGTGTTTTAGTTGCTCTGTTCAATTAGTCACATATAATATTAACCTATGATTAACCTGTTAATGCTAACCTGCCAGAAGCTGCTATATATATTGCCTTATTTGTTTATGGTACCATTAAATATTTACTCTTTATGAGATCTCATTGAATGTGCTAATAATTATTATCTTCATTTTGAGATAAGGCCGTTCAGATACAATATTTGATGAACTTTAATTGGTAATGTAGTTAGAGGGGTAGATAGTGAACTCCAGCCTTTCTCATGAAGCCACTGGTGTGAAAACTCATAGTCAAACCCAGTTATCCACATTGATGGGAGGAGGTGGTGACATCAATGCATAATTTGAAAGTTACTTAGTTTTATAATACTTTTTTTTACTTACATTTGAACTAGACAAATCTTTTTGAAATTTATGCTTTACATATATTGACATCACACGTTGAAAACAAAACTGAAGTTCTTTGAGATTAGTAAGAGATCTAGACTACGCTAATCTGTTTGCCTGTATTCTTGGGTAAGCAAATTATTCCTCTGGGTTGCAGTATCCTTTTATATAAAATAAATGATAGGACCTGTTTTGAAGTCCCTTTTGGTACAGTCAAAAGTGGAATACAAAGTATCCCAGGAAGTTCCTCCTCTTCATCTCCTTGTTTTTATGTCTGTGTAGGGGTGGGTATATTCTTTTGTTTATAGCAAGTGAATTCATTAAGTAGAGGTCCTCCATCTTTTTCTAATCCACAAATGGGCATAATTAGAATTTTAAAAATATTATTTATAGTATTACCTTGTAGATCTTTTGGCTCATTTGTTAATTTGGTCTGTTCTGCTCATTTTATAATTGTAGAATTATGCTGGCATGTGTGCAGTAAATTCCATTTTGATCTCTCATTAGCTTTTTGACTTTGGGCAAGTATCATAAGTCATTTCCCTAGGCAGCAGACTCTGAGACAGATTTGTGTGCCAGAGTATTGCCAGGATCAATAGCTTGAGGGAAGTGAAAGAAGAATTGGACAGGGGAGAAGTTGACTGAGTTTCAGTTGCATACAAAACCTCAGCTGACCTTGGGAAGCTCTGAGCCTGGGGTGACCCTTTAGACTTATCACAAATTGGGTCTTAGGCCTCAACTTTAATATCTCCATGTCAGTCTGTCATTGGAGCAGGGGTTCTCTGAGAAGGGACTGTGACCTTGGATGAGACCACTTTCTTCATCTTACTGCTAAGCCCACAGACAGTCTCACCTGAAACTTATCAGCTGCAGACACCCCTGCCAGACCATGAGGGAACTGAATCTTTCAGTTAT